CTTGGTCCCCAAATCCAAGGCACCCCGTGTGTTTCTGCTCCATGGCTATTCATCTGCCCAACACACCTCCCCCATTTTTTCTTCCATTGGACAAATATGACTGACTTTTTAAGCATGCATAATATACCCAGAGAGGCACATCCCCAGGCCAGAGTGTGAGAGGATTCTTAGGGCACAGAAGGCCCCAGCTTCCTAATTCATCCAAATTCCTATTGAGCACCCACGGTGTGCCAGGCACTGGGATAAGTATATGGGATGTCATAATGAGCAGGCCAGTGTGTCTCCGCCTCCTGCTGGTCATCACTGGACACCAGCTGTGCCCTGTGCCTGGCTTAAGCCTTTTTGCCTGCTGTTCCTCATTTAGTACACAGGCCCCCTCATGTATCTGTGAGGTTAACTGTTTTCTGAATGTCAGACACACCTAGAGAGGGGAGTTCAGCAGGCCAGGGCCACAGAGAGAGGAGGTCACAGGATATGGTCCCGTGGGCGCTGAGTTCAGTGCAGGGGCAGCAGAGGGAGGGCTCCCAGGAGGAAGGGAATGGGTCTTGGTGGACACACTGAGGCAGCTGGAGAGGAGCCAAGACACAGGCATGAGCCCTAGTGGCGAGTGGAAGCCAAGATCTGGCTGACCACAAAAGAGCAAATGGGGAAGAGGGTGTCACAGCTCTGGCCAAGGAAAGTCCAGGTGTCCAGTTGTTTTTCCCCCGTGCTTCCTAAGTGTCACCTGGGCAGAGCAGGGCCCTGGGAGATCCGCCATGCTGAGTGAGGGCAGACCATGGAGAGGGAGTGGACATAAGTCCGGGCAACCCCATTAGTGGACTACCCGCCTCACAGGACAAGCTGCTGGAGAGCCTCAACCGCAAGGTGCTGGACGTGTACCGGCAATGTGTGGGTCCCCAGCAGGAGTCCAACCTGGGCACCGTGCAGATGCTCACCATCATCGAACACCAGCTGGACGAACTGCTCGAGAACCTGGAGCGTGTGCCCCAGATCAGGATTGAGCAGGCCGAGAAGGCCAAGGAAAAGGAGCGGCGCCAGAGGTGAGGGCCCAGGCTGCCCTCCACACCCCTGCTGGCTTGCCCTCCAAGAATTCCCAAACAAGGGGAAAGGACCCTGGTTCTCCAAGCTGGGAGAGCCAGCGGCCAGGGCTCTGGGGGAACCGGAGGGAACCCACACTCGGCCTCAGTAAGGGAAGCCCTGCTTGTGGAGAGGAGGATGTTGTGGAGTCAAGGAGCCAAAGCGAGGTGCGGCTAGCACAGCCTTGCCTCAAAAAACAGGCCATTTTCCTGGCTGGATAAGAGGAAAAGAGCCCAGACAGGGAGGGGCGGAGACCTTGGCACAGGGCGCGTGGGTCCGTCCTCCAAGAGGGAGGACCAGAACTCCCCAGACACTGGGTGGAGTGAGTGAGTTCCAGGGAACATGACTCCTCTGGCCTGTAGGCTGCCTGGTTTACTCACTCCTGTGCAAAGCCCCAAGACAGCCATCAGCAAAAGGTCATCTGCCTCTCCCATGAGCTCTTTCTCTGTGTCCTTGGTACCTTGCTCAGGGTAGACTCGGGGCAGTGGTTTGAACCCCAGGTACAAACAGAAAGGAGACAACACTACTAATCTCCTGAGGTCTGGGCTTTCAAGGGTGACGGTAGGGAAGCATAGGCACATGGGCCAGTGACTGGGGATGAGGACCTAAGCACCTGGGCTTCCTGGGGCTATGAGATGACCTTTACATTGTCTCCCAGGGGAGTCAGAGCTGGATGACCCGCAAGGAGCAGGGCAGAACCGAGGCCCTGCCCTGGAAGGAAAGGGCGGGAAGGAGTGGAGTTTTCTCAGAAGAGGGAGGGCCACGGCCTGGAGCTGTGTAGGAAGGTGCTGGGGAGGGGATTTGGCAGCCTCCCCTGGCCTCTCCAGTCCGTAGTGCATCTCTTGTTGCCCCTGCCACTTAGGCTCCGGGAAGAGAAAGCCAGGATACAGAAGCAGCTGCAAGAGGAGCGTCTCCAACGGGCCCAAGCCCGCGCCCAGGCCGAGATCAAAAAGAAGGTGGGCAGGGTGGGTCTCGTGAGCTACTGCTGGGGAAAGGTCCCACGTCCCAGCAGTGTGGCATGGAAAAGCAAAGGGTCTGCAGCTGAGTCCGGTTCACCGAATCCTTTGCAGATATTACTATAGGGGTCCTGGGCCTAAGAGCAAGGCGAGGATAGAGCATGTCTCCCATTACTAGGCCTACTGCCCCTTAGGGCTACCCTCGCCTTCCTCCAGAAGCCCTCCCCTAAGACTGCCCGCTCCCCTGCACACATTCCTGATCAGTGACTGACCTGGTCACCCCTCCTAGCCCTGTGGAGAGCTAACACAAAGAGCTCAGCTGCCCAGAGTCCCACTACACAACCTGCTTCAGAACAAGCTCATCACCTGTCAAGAGTCCCCTTGATTGCTGGGCCCCAAATCACCCCACAGGGAACGGGCAGGATCTCTAATGGAGGCCCGAGGCTGAACATAACCTCTGACAGACAGAAAAGGCCGCTGGCCTTTCCCTGCAATAGACCAGCACCCTCTCTACTCTGTGCCGTGGGGAATGATGGACACTGCAGGGTCTCCTGAAATCCCTAGAGATAGGTTTCCTCTGTGTAGCAGTATTTCCCATCTGTTTTCAGGTATTTCCCGCACACGGCCCCCACATATCTAGGGGCTGCCCCAGAGCACAGGCTTTAGGCTAGACAGACACACTTCTGAGTTGGCTCAGCAACTCCGGCCCTCCACCTGTGGCTGACCAAGAGTGACCACAGACTGGGGCAGTCCACAGGGCTCCCCAGCTTCCGGACAGGGATATGACCCCCAAAATGTCTAGGCAGCACCTCTGGTGCACGGAGGCCACAGGCAGAGGGTTACTGAGTCCGCTTCCTCCACAGAGAGGCAGAAAGTTGGTGTCCCGCTCCGAGCCCCCGGCCCTGAAAACCAAGGATGAGCCTGAGCAGGAGCTGCTGGACAAGGAGAAGGAGGAGCAGCTGTTCTTCTTCTCCTAGCCTTCCTGGTGCTGCCAGGGCTGACCGCACAGGGAGGACGGCAGCGGGAAGCGGACAGGGCTGTGTCAGGGCCAATGCAGCCCTCGCCGTGCGCCTCGTGTCTCCTGCTGTATGTTTCTTCGCTCATGTGAAATAAACCCATGACTCTTTGGTGTCTAAGGGCTGTTTTAAGGAGGTAGACCCTATCTCGAAATGCCAGCACTCCTCTTAATCATTAACCCCAAGCAAATGCTTGAGGGAAGAAGGCCATCTTGGCTCCCATCTAAAACAACTGCTTTAAGAGACAAGCCAAGTCCACGCTGGGGTGCAGTGCGGGGCCAGCCCCAACACAATGACAAGAAAAGCAGCAAGCTGGGCAGACGGGTCATTATTCCTGACTGGAGGAAAAAGCAATGTCAACACTCGTACACAATTCCTTAAAATAAGTCAAGCGAAGCCTTCAGTGCGTAACTATACAAAAACTTTTATTCATTTGCACTAGTGTTGGGTCCACTGCCAACAGGGGACCTCAGTGCCCAGAAAACCGACTAACAGTACCAATCGCTTTGTAGTGGACATTCACTGGGGGACGTGCGGGAGAAAGGTCCAGCAACACGTCCTCCTTCGGGAGGTCAGTGAGGTACGGCCACCCTGGCAGACAGGCCTGGCTCCTTGGAGAGGGCGGGGATTTCTGGAGGACCTGGGCTGAGGTGCCACATGAGCACAGAAATTGTTTTTGAAGCAGCACAGAGTTCTGAACGAACCATTTATAAATGGGGCATAAATTCCTTCAGATGGAGAAGCACTGAGCAGGAGCGGATGGCACCTCAGAATAGGACAGAGAGGAATCACAATCGAATGCTGGGTCACTCCCAAGAGCCAAGTCCAAAAACTCAGGGAACGAAGAAACACAGAATGGGCAGAGTTTGGATGATTCCAGGTCTGAGAACCAAAGTAGCATCTTAATAAACACACACTTCAAAAGGCATAAGGCAAACACAGCATTTCTGAGTGATCGTGTCCAGTCCACTAACCAATTAACAAATATGTGCAAGGTTATCAACTCGTCTCCTTTTGCAAGACAGAATTAACATTAAAATATATGGTGACATGATATGCACATCTTCAACCTCAACAAGAACATATACATGCCATCATTATAGTCCTGCACATAATTTATAGTATTCTGAACATGACTTTATAAACCATCGTCAAATTACTATTAAACATTAGTACCCAAATACAGAATTTAGAAAAATTATTTGAATCTTTTAATTCTACCATCTCCAAACTGTGAGCTCAAAATTCGGTCTACACAGAGGGCTCACAAACAGAGCCTCCGATGTATCCACTTCACCCTCAATAATTGCCTCTCACACCAGCAGCCTGCCTGGTCTGCCAGAACATGGGTGAGAATTCAGCTTCCTGTGACGAGAAGCCCACTTCTGCCCCACAGTGACAAAAGTTGACCCCCCTACAAGCACCATTCACAGGGCTGGGAAACAGCCCGTCACATAGCTCTCAGAAAGGGAAAGCAGGGTATTTAGATCTCTCTCAAGGCAAATGCTAAAACCCCAAAGCTGAAAGACCCCTCTGGGTTTACTACAGATCAAGTTGTATTTGACTAGGGGACCTGCTCTCTATTTCCTGCACAAGTCTGTTTTGTAACTGCAACTGGCGCTCCATGGCTCAGATGAATGGGACAAGGGATGTGCACACACAGGCACAAGTACAGAAGAGGGGTGTGCTTTGCTCGGAAGGCAGTCCTTGCCTCTCTGAAGCATTTTGCTTAAGAAGGCAGTTTTAAATAGTACAGCCCCTAACTGGTTCCTGAAAGAATGTCAGAAAAAACATGTTCAATGAGTGCACCCAAAAGTCTCAGAAGAACTTGGGTGGCCTTCTGAGCAGAAACCGAGTAGGCTCTCACCCAGGCCTGCAAGACCATGTAACAGAGTCTCACGGGGACCTGATGGGAGGCGTCGCCCTTGGGTCCCCCAGTAGAGGGCAGCTTTCACTGCAGGTCCTGTAGGTTGACAGTGCTGCCTGTGCAGTGCGTGTCCTCAGGCCCAGCAGCCCCTCCGGCTGCAGGATGCACCTCCTGCAAAACCAAGCAGAGCAATGAGGAGGTCAGAACGGGGGCTGAGGCAGTGCAGGACCACTCGCAGGAGGCAGCCTCACAGCCACTCACCAACTAGCAGCATAACCTGCAGGGCTGGCCAGCCAGGTGCTTCTGACTTATCTTAATTAAAAACCATTCCACCTCTTCCTTTTAGAGAAATGGTTCTACCGCATTAGATTCAAGGCTACGATGACCAGCTTTTTGCTATTTGTATCCTACCTAATGTCTCTAGGAGTGATCTTGTGAGTGGGAACACCAAGCAGCATGTAGTAGGCACTAAAGGGGCTTTCTGGATGTCCCCACTGCAGCAGTCTGGGAGCGCCCACCTCCACTCCCACCTCATATCAGTGCTTTAATCAAAATTTATTTTTGACATTAAGGAAAATGTTTAACCCTTTGTACACCATAAGCACCTATAAACAATTTAAAAAGTCATTTTTCATGAAAATTTTCAACTGAAAATATTCAAGAACACCAGAATTGTGAGTAATATATTTATTTTTATAATATTCATTGAAAAATTATATTTTTAATTAAATTCAAAATATTGTGGTGGGCCAAAACCGGTTTGGCTCAATGGATAGAGCGTCGGCTTGGGGACTGAAGGGACCCGGGTTCGATTCCGATCAAGGGCATGTGCCTTGGTTGCGGGCATATCCCTAGTATGTGCAAGAGGCAGCTGATCAATGACTCTCTCTCATCGATGTTTCTAGCGCTCTATCTCTCTCCCTTTCTCTCTGTACAAAATCAATAAAATTTATTTTTTATAAAAAAAAAAAATATTGTGGTGGTTGAAAAGGTTTCCATTTTGGATGCATGGCAGTTAACTGGTTAATAGCCCAATTTCTATTTCTATGGATTTTTAAATATATATTTAGGTCTGTTAGAAATTTAATAAGCTAGATACTTTCATTATTTTATATCCAAATCTGAATTACCCACAAGCTACCTATGCCCAGGTTAACCACTTACTTAAGGAAACTAATTTGTGTGAGTCTATTTTTCCACCGGTTAAAACTAACTTCCCATAGAAGAAAGTGACTAGAATTTCTCTTATATATTTTAAAGAGTATGCTCACCTTATTTACAAGTAGGAGCTACAATAACAGCAAATTTGAGCTTTAGTCTTATCCTTTTATTTTCTGCCCATTTACCCACCTTTTCTAGAAATCTGCAAACATCCAGGCAACAACCTAATGGATCTCCACCCGAGGCCTACCTCAGTGCCAGCCTCTGAAGCTGGAAGCTGTGTGATAGTCTTACTAACAAACCCAAAGACGTGTAAGACATCAGACCTGGAGGACATAGACGGGCAAACCAATGGCGAGCAGGGGGTGGAAGGTGGAAGACTGCGGGCTCAGCACCATTGGCAAGACTCCTTCACCTGAGGGGCCGTCCTGGGGAGGGAGGCAACAGCACATGTTTTATTAACCAGGCACCAAAGCATTCCTACCTCAGCCTGAGGAGCTCTACCAGTGCCATATGCAGAACTGGTCCCATCCAGTGCGTCCAGGCAAGACACCGTCTCCACTCCGGTGAGGCCCGAGAACCCAGCAGCAATTGGCATCAGGGGCTGGGAACTGATGCCCCTCCTTCTGAGCCTCATCTCTCACTTTGATCCCAGCCTAAGGCCTAGGGGGCTAAGCTAGGCCTGAACCACCTGCCATCTGGCTGCTCCTCCCTCCCAAGCCCTTCTCCTGGAACTTTCCTTACTCTCCCACACTCAAATACCTCCTCTCAGCCCAAGTGCCAACTTCTCTCCTGAGAATTATTCTTGAACTCTGATGGAGGCTCCAGGCTCCCTAGGTGTCCCACTGCTCTCCAGAGGCCTTCTCAGACCACACAGCTAGGCGCATCTCTGCCTTGAATCCAACCCTCAGTCAAGCTGGGACTATAGATGAAAGGTCTTTCCAAGAGGAGCTATCAGGCCCCTAATTGCCCAATCAGAAAAGGGACACTGTTTAACACTTCACCTTTCACTTGCATGTCAGCCTGTTGCCATCCACTGCTCCCATCACTTAATCCTGTGCCACCAGCACTACCATCAGTATCTCTCATTCCTTCCAGTCTCAAGAACCTTCTGTGACAAGCATTGAGCACTCACTATCATTCCCATCTTATATGTGCTAAGATGGAAGCCCCAAGTGCTTAAGTAGCTTACCCAAGACTACCCTAGCAGGTAAGGGAAAGATAGATTAAAACCCAGGTTTCTCTACCTCAAATCTGACATCTTTAATTGGTGGTTCTTAGAAAAATAGCCACAATTCCCTTTCCAACTAGCTGCAGTGGTACCAGCTTCCCTGCAGTCTCCATGTCAAAACCGTGAGTCCTGTAATCTTCACTGGGGACCTGCTTGCTGGCTTTGACCACGTTCAGAAGGCTCAGACTCGTCCGCGCTCCACTACCTTTATCTTGAAAAAAATATTTCATTTCTCTGCAGGCAAGACTCGCCCCCACAAAACTCTCACATCTGCTTCTGGTTTGCTTCAACCGCCTGGCCGTCCACTGGGCCTGTCTTCCAGGGACCCCTCTGGCTCTGCCCAGGCCATTGCTGCCTCTTTCACTTATCTGAACCCACAAACACTCCACAGCCAGCACAGTCCTACCTCCTTCATGGGCCTCTCCCAGGACTACAGGCTCCACAGGCAGGACTCCCTGCCCCTCCGCCAGATCAGCGCAGGGCTCAGCTGGCCTATGGCGTCTCTGACTGGGCCTCCCCGGCACACGGTGCTCTTTGGCCCAGAATACCCAGGACACTGAAGACTGCTCAGTGAAGAGGCAGGATGTGATTGGGTCAGGTCAGAGGCGCATATCCTCAGCTTTTAAATCTTGTCTGTTCTAAAACCCAAATTACCTTATGTCTCTATTCTGGCCCTTCAGAAATGAGACTGGAAATCAAGTTGTACACAGAGGTGTGGAGGTGAATGTGTCTCGTGAGCATTTGTGGAGTGGCTGCCAGCTGCAGTCTGCTGGGCCCGGGGCATAGTCTAAGAGGTGGCTGGCCCTGCCCTTCAGGGGCTCAGTTTGGTAAAGAATGAAAATGGGAAAAGAAAAAGAAAAAGCTAGCACCTTTAATATATAAAGGCTACATCTGGTGTGCTACCAGCAGTGCCCAGAGATGCGGATGACCAATGCTGCCTGAGGAAGCCCCTGCACCCCAGCCCTGAAAAGAGAAGTAGGGTCTGGGGAGGGGCAGGCAGAGTGAGAAGCCAGGCGCCACAGCATCCACCGCTGCAGCGCCTGTCTGTGGCCAGCCTCAGGCAGCCCAAGCAGCTGTAAGAAAGCCACAGGGGGCCTTGCAATGAAGCAGGCATGTGTCTCCACCTCAAAGAATTCCCACCACGGTACAGAAGACAGAGCACATGGGGAGGGGGGACCAGACACATACAGAGAGCTCTGACACAGATGCTTCGATCTTTATGAAGATAAAAGCTTGAACAAATGTAACTCAATGGGTGGGATGAAGGGAGAAGCTAGGGTTATGGACAGATGACTTAGGATATAAAACAGGACTTGGAATGGTGGTGAAATGGCCGTTCACTGAGAGAAAGGAGCACCCAGAGACAGAGCCCTGAGGCCTTGCCCACGGCTCTCATCTGGACACCTCTGAGGCCTGCCTCCTCCCAGCTTGATGGCTCTTACCTGCAGTAACTGGACCTGAACACATTGCACCCCAGCTGCTGGAGCTGGTCCTGGCAGACCTCCGCCGGGCACCACAAGGTTCCCACACAACCAACCACTCTGGTTTGCATACAAGTGAGTAGGAGTGACTTTGCCACCTTTCATTTTTCTCTGAGTAGACCCTGAGGCTCCTAAAATGAAACAAACCAACAATGCACTGTACATGTACTGTTCAGGCCCTTGCCTTCACAGAGGCCACACTCTGGGGGAGACAGCCTTCCCATTACCTGTCACTGCACAGCCCCGCAGAATTACAATTACTGAACAGGGACGGTCATGAGGTAAGAGGTGAAGAAAACAGGAGAAAGATTAACAAACTTATTATGTGTGTCGCTTGGACAGACAACATCAGACTTCAGCTGCAGGTTTCTTGAATGTGGAGACTCTTCCTTACTCTCCAACTCCAACAGCTCCAGGCATGCAGATCTCTGAGACTACTGAGAAAAACCAACCAATGGAGCAGCAGAATCACGGGAAAGGGACAGGAAATCGCACCCACCTCTTGGACACCTTGGAGCATGCTAAATGGCTGCCATATCCTTCAGGCTATTTCTGTCCAGCTTCCTTTACAAAAATCATCACTTCATAAAAATAGGGTTTTTAAAAAATGAAGTACAAAGCAGAAAGAAAAATCCTGACACTTAGGAACGGTTTTTCTGACACTCACAATGTTTGTGAGCAGCAGGAAATCCCAGGCAGAAACCAATGGCCTACATTCAAAGCCTGGCTCCACAACTGAGTCTGCTACCTATGTTTTCTTCTAGGGCAAAGGACCTGTATAGACACTTCTCCTGAAAGGACATACAGATGGCCAATAGACATGGAAAGATGCTCAACATCACAATCATCAGAGAAATTAAAATCACAATATCACTTCACACCTGTTGGGATGGCTATCATCAAAAAATCCACAAACAAGTGTTGGCAAGAATGTGGGAAAAGGGAACCCTTGTGCACTGTTGGTGGGAATGCAAGACTGGTGCAGCCATTGCGGAAAGCAACATGGGGTTACTTCAAAAAATTAAAAATGAAACTGCCACTTCACCCAGCAATTCCACTGCTGAGAATTATCTGAAGAAACCAGAAACACTAATTCAAAGGGATATATGCACCCCTATGTTTATTGCAGGATTATTTACAAAAGCCAATATCTGGAAACAGCCCAAGTGTCCATCGGTAGATGAGTGAATAAAATAGTCGTGATACATTTTACACAATGAAATACTACTGGGTCATCAAAAAAGAAGGAAATAGTGGGAGAGAAGGAGAGAGGGAGAGAGAGAGAAGGAGGGAAGAAGGGAGGGAGGGAGGGTGGGTATCTTGCCCTAGCTGGTTAGGTTCAGTGAATAAGAGCATCGGCCCCTGGACGAAGAGTCCTAGTTCATCAAGGGGACATGCCTGGGTGGCAGGCTCGATCCTCCATTGCAGGGGTGGGGGAGGTGCAAGAGGCAGCTGACCAATGATTCTTTCTCAACATTAATGCTTCTGTCTCTCTCTCCCTTTCCCATCCACTCTGAAAACAATAAAAATATACACACAAAAAAGAAGGAAACCTTATCCTTTGCGACAACATGGATGGACCTGGAGAAAACATTATGCAAAGTTAAATAAGCCAAAGATAAATACCATATGATTTCACTCAAATGCGGAATCTAATTTAAAAAATGAAGCAAAATAGAGACAGACTCATAGAGAGCAAGCTGACAGCTGTCAGGGGTGGCGGGGGAGGTGGAGGGATTGAGAAGGGAAAAAAGAACTCATGGCACATGGACAATAGTGTGGTGAATGTGGATGGGGTGAGGGATGGGAATTGGGGGTAGAAAGACATGTAAGAGGGTATAGGAGGGATAAATGGTGATGGACAGAGACAACTTGAGGTGGTAAACACACAATACAGGGTATAGATTATGTGTTGAAGAATTGTGCACCTGAAACCTGAATATTCTGTTAATCACTGTCACCCAAAAAAAAATTTTAATAAAAAGGGGGAGGGGGGAAATATACTATAAAATATACTTATTCACAATGAAAAATTTTCATATTAATAGTAAAAAGCAGATAAAAACATGCATGTGCAATTTCTTCACCACTAGGCTGTTTATACACATAGGAAAGTGTTTAACATCAAAATGTTAGTAGTTTTCTCTGGGTGGTGGAGCTGCGGGGGAAAGTGCATAAAAAATGCACCTTTATTTTTTCCAAAGAGTAAACCATTTACTGAACACGAGTTCTTTGCTTAATGACTCTGTGCCACACTCCAGCTGTCCCCATTTGTCCTGCTGACCAGCCCTCCGCCAGAGCACCCGCCAGGCTTTCATCACCAACATCCCTCAGCATGCCTAGGTCACAGCACAGCGGTCTCCTCACCTCACCGTTTCTCCTTTTCCAAATCTGCATGGAGATTCTCACTAAATTATTCCTCCAGAGGAACTTAAAACAGACAAGTTTGGGGTTTTTAAGTTCCTTTGGGATTTAAAGGAACTGAAGAAGATGTAAATTAATAAGAACTAAGTGTTTCTATCCAAAGTATCTGGTAGGCCTTAAGCAAGATCTCATCCAGGCCCAGTACATATGCATCGCTGGTGATCCCAAGATACTTTATAACTTTTATTGCCATTATGAGATCTACCCACTGGCTCAGTCACCATTCTGATCTCAGCTACTCTCATTTCCCTGCTGGAGGAAAATGAAGAAACCTCTACCTGCTCTTTTTGTCCCGAACTCCCCCACCCCCACCAGAAAAGCAGCTGGAACCATCCCTTAAAAAATAGCACATCACCTTTTTAATTATGCCTCTAATGTTTTCCCATCTGACTCTGAGCGAAAGCCAAATGCCAGTGACCTTGAAGCCCTTAACAGCCTGGCCTCCCACCAGCTTTTTACTTCCCAAAGCTTTCCCCTAAATGGCTTTGCCAACAAACGCCTTTCCACTGACACTCTCAGGAGCTCAACCAGAGTCCTTCGCCCCAATCTGCCAATGTGCTCCCTTCTTCACCTCCTGCATGTGCTGCCTTCCTGGAGAAGCCTCTGTCTACCTTTTTAAAACTGGAAACCATCACCAGTCCCTTTCCTTGTTTTGTTCACATTTATCACATGATTTACTGTTTTACCAAATGCTCCATCCCCACCCCACCTCCAATCAGAATGCAAGCAGTGGTATCTGTTGTTTCGGACATGCATCAAGTAAATTTATCTGAAGGAAGGGTATCCCCATCTCATTTTTTCAGCCAAGGTTTATGTCTCCTCCATTCAGGTTCTACAGTTGTGAAATTTCCTCTTGGATATTTTCTAATTTTTGTTGCTATTGTAAGGTATTTTCTCCATTGCATTTCCTGATTAGCTACTGCTGTCATACAGGACACTCCAGATGAATATACATTTGTTTTATAACTGGCCACTTAAATATATTTTAATTGCTAATCATTTTCCAATAAGCAATCAAATCATATTTAAGTTATTTTATGTCTCTTTATTATGGTTCTTATTCCTCTTTCTTGCTTTATTTCAATACAAGAATCTCCAGAACAAAATTAAATACCAAAGGTAATAATGGTAACCAAAGTAATTCTTGCATGTATTTAGAATGCCTGTTAACTCTCCATTAAGTATGATTTTAACTCTTCATTTGGCTACAGAACTTTATATACTCTATTTCCATCAGTAATGGATATCAATTTTTTAAAAATACAGAATCTGTTGAGAAAAATAATAAAGTTCTTGACGACCTATGATAACAAACCCAGGAGCAACATTAAGTCATCCTTAAGCTATAGACTAAACCTCACTGTTCAGAATATGAGGTTAAATACACTGAGTGGCCAGATTATTATGATCTCTGAACACATAATAATCTGGCCACTCAGTGTATTTGTATCTCAAATGGGTACCAAAAGTATTCTAGACTTTTGTTGGAGATCAACTACCAATTTGCCCTGAGCTTTCTATCAGCCAGTGCATGATTTATAGTATCTTTGATATCAAATAAATGAGGTAGTCAAGAAAAGTACACTGAGTGGCCAGATTATTATGCGTTCAGAGATCATAATAATCTGGCCACTCAGTGTATACTGCCAGACCCTATGTGTTTTGAGAACATTTCCATCATCAATCTACAGGTCCCCTTTTGGGGAATATCTTTGTCAGGCTTTGGTATTCAGATCATGGGGTGTTCCCTATTTTCCACAAAAGTTCTATAACAGTGACTACTATAATGTTTCATGGACAAGTAGAAGCTGTATAACCAATGACAAGCATGAGATTCCAAAATACTAACTTCATCCACAGTTATTGGCCATCTTTAATAATGATGATTTCTGTTTTCCTGAAAAATATGCATTTTGTTCAAGCACTCCAATTTATTATCATAGAGTTTATACAATATTCAGTTATTTTCCATTGAATCTGTGAAATTTAATTATGCCTTTTTTTTCTTGGTAAAACTGCTCAGAAATAGAAAATGACAAGTTACAAGCTGTATCCACATACGATTTTTTGTTTGACCCACACAGAATGATTTTTTAAAATATGAATAGATCATATTTTAGCATCAAAATCCGGATTTCTGATTCTTCTTAGATTTGTTCTTCTTCCATCCGTCTTGAAATCAGCTTATTCCACTTAGTTTCCTTTCTCTTATTTAACAGGAAGGCACCCACAGGCATAAACTCGCAGCTGGCTTCTGCCACATCCCCTATCAGTTTTTACTTTCATCCTTAACAAGTGGCTTGTAAGATTCAAAGTGCTTTAAGCAATTTACCTTATTATCTCACTTTACCCCCACAAGAATCCAATATAGCTGCTTTTATTATCATTTTACAAGGAAAAAAACTGAAGCACAGAGAAGCTCCTTGCTCAAGAATTCGAACTTTTAACCACATGCCTATCTATCTTTTCTATGAGTATCTGTAATTAGCTTTTACATCTTCTTTAACCCAAGTGTTGGGTAGGTTTTCTTTTGCTTTCCAAGTAATTTTTACTTTCTATTTTACCACAGTATGGTCAAAAAAGTATAGTCAGACTGGGGGTTTGTGCTTAAAGACTTTGTAATGCTTTTCTTAATGGCCAAATTCAGTTCAATTTCTATAAATATTCCATAGTCATGGAGTATGATCTATTGAATCAACTTTACTACTCCCATTGTAAATATCTTTCAGATCTTTTTCCATATGATCTGCAAATAATGAATTAAATTAACCACTTTGGATGTTGCTAGGTTTTTGTTTATCCAACTCTACATTTCCATCAGTTTTTACTTCCTATTGTTTGATATTGTAAGCCTTCACATAAATATTCACATAAATGGTCACAAGTCTTCCAGTATAGGTGAACAGCAATCAAAACAGAGACAATCTTCTCTGCCTAAGTGCTCGTCTTTAAATTGTGTGCTTGCAACGCTAGTAGCATTAACCCTGCTTTGTGATTTTTGCTTGTTTTTCTTTTATTTTCTTATCCTAATTTTAACCTTCCTAGATATTTCCGCCCAGCAAGTTCCTCTTCTACACAAGACATAGTGGAGATTTTGTTCTTTGACTCAATAAAAAAAAAGTTAGAGGTACTCTGGCCAGTATGATTCAGTTGGTGCACGGAAAAGTTACCAGTTCAATTCCTAGTCAGGGCAAATGCCAGGTGGTAGGTTCCATCCCGGGTCAGTGTGTTCGGAGGCAACCAATCAATGTTTCTCTCTCACAGATGTTTCTTTCTCTCTCTTCCTCTCTCTCTAAAAGTCAATTAAAAATATATTTTTTTAAAGTCAGGGGAATCACACTTTTACTTATAAATGAGTGTGACTCCCAACATTGCTGTTTACTATCTCTTCCAGTAAGTACTGTATTTTCTTTCTTTTCCCCTGCCCTTAAAGAGTAGAGAGAGATAATTTATAGTTCTGAAACTGGTTACATTTTTTAAAGTGTATTTGCTAACTCTTGGCTCCAAGAATAAAGTTTCTCTCTACTTTTTATTCTTGGTTTCTTTTGAGGATTAAATATTGAACATTTAAAAAAATGGCACAATTTTATTTTCCACACTCAGTAGCATACCCATGGGAAGGATCTTAGATTTTAGACCCTATATCTTATTTTTCAAAACATTTCAGATTGCACATTTTCTAAGAACTGGCATATGCACATTAGTACACAAACGAAGTCCTGTGTTTAAATTACTTAAATCCACTAACAGTCCTGTTTTCCTGCAACTATATCATAACCCCTTTGTCACAATCACAAAATGTCTGTTTTGCCCCCTGATAGCAAAGATTAACGAGCACACCCAGAGCCCAGACCTCAGTTTCTCTATCACTCTCCAATAAAGGAACAAGGCTCCTTGGAGAGTGGCAGACTTGAGGACTGAGTTAAGGATAATACAAGATAAGCCTGACAGGACCAAAAAGTAAGATGTCTCACCAAAACCACAGGGATGGAAACACGTCAAAAAGACACAAGAATCCAACTAAAATAACATCTAGTAGCCAAAGCTGGAAAAATTTGAGCAGAAAAATATGGATAATATTATAATATTGTAAAGGTTATAATACAATATTATTATAATATTGTAATAGTTATAATACAACTAGAGGCCCAATGCACAAAATTTGTGCAAGGGGCTCAGCCCTCACAACAGCGGTAGCTGCCTCGGCCCTCGCAGTCCCAGCTTTGTCTGGAAGGTCGTCCAGAGGATGTCCAGCTGTCTGATCAAATTAGCATATTATGCTTTTATTATTATAGATATTGATAACCTAAAGGATAAATACCTTTGCATCCATAACTAACTAGATAAATGATCTAATTAAGTAGATAAATGGGAGAGAAGAGACAGTTCTTCCTTATAGAAGAATTCTAATTAATGTACAAGAAATGAAGGAAACAGAAAATCACCTTAAGAACACCATAGTAATAAGACTATAGGCAAGTCCACCCTTTAGTGTTGAATTATTAAGAGCCTGAAGGAGAAAAAAGGTATCTGCACAGTGTGGGGGAATGGATTAATCTTGCCCAAAGTGAAATATGGTCATTATTCAAGATTCCAGGAATGAATCTCAAGGCCCTTGAATGTCCTGCCTGGAAAGTAAGTTTACCCGGGGCCCTGGCCACTCCATATCGTCTAACAATATGACTTAAGGTGGAGGCCTTGGGGCCCTGATGAATGGCTGGAGAGTACGACTCAGGTGAACTGCCCTGAGTTCACCTGGCTGGCAATACCGTGCGCTGTCACACAGTGGGAGAAATAGCACTGTCCACAACTCCAGGGAAGGGCTAACTGGAAGCTTCACTATAGAAAACCCCCTGCATCCTGCTCCCTTGGCTGGCTTTATTCTGTATCCTTTCACTGCAATAAACCATAACTGTGAGTCCTGAGTCCTTTTAGAAAATAACTGAACCTAAGAGTGGTCTTGGAGACCATCAAACTTGCAGTTGGGTATACGAAGTGAGGGTGATCTTACAGACCCTTGAGATTTGCACACCATCTCAAAATGTCTACCTCAAAATAAATATTTATTAATTACAAAGGAAAAATAATAATTTCAAAATGGGAAAATCTGGCAACAATACTTTAATCCAGTGACAACGGTTATCACAACCTGTAACAATATGTAATTACATGTACTTCGATATGATGCAATAAGAACACCTCATTTTTTTGTTCCAAAGATTCCATAATTTTAGTCAAATCAAGAAAAAACATTAGACAGACCCAATGGTGGGACATTTCAGACTAAGGGACAAACACTCTTCACAGGCACCATGAAATCAAAGAAGGGCTGAGGAACAAACACAGATAGGAGCTCCGGCACTGTGACAACCAAATGCAACGTGGGATCCCAAACGGGATCCTGGAACAGAAGAGACACTGGTGGGAAACTGGGTAAATCCAAATAAAGCCTGCAGTCTATGATCAGAGTTAGGTAAATGTGCTGTCACTATGAAGAAGCTAATATGAGGGGATGCTGGGTAAAGAGTACCACAAACGGAGGACACAAATAGGTACAATACATAATAGTGCCAACGAGGGAAGCATTTTTCTGCAAACTAAAATTCTATCAAAATAAAATGTCAGAAGAGAGAAACACAGTCCCAAGGGTTTTGGAAAAGGGAATGTGGGCCTACATTTACATTTCTCTTATCAGAAGAGTGCTTTGCAACGACAGTATGTGGGTAGCAAAATGTGAGCCTTTGAACTTCTTCTACTGTCTTCACATATGAAGGCTGAATACTTGGCAGGTTCCAGATTTCTATTTCCCATAAAAGTCTATAGTGTTTAAAGCACTTTGACCACTATTATAAGATGCTAAGAAACCAGCTCATTATTTTGAAAACTGATAAACAGAAAGATTTAGACATTTATCCTGACTTTCCTGTATGAACTGTATCAGGATTAAAAAAAAAAACAAAAAAAAACTGATGAGAAGTTGCTCTTTACAGAAGTATTCTAACTAGAAATGAGAAAAGAAAGACAGAATATCATCTTTCTGCAACCTCTAATAGATCCAGTCACTGACCATCAACAGCTGCTAACAACACAGGACAGACCACCTGATGTCAAGTCCCTCTGGAGCAGCCCCCCACTGCAAGAGTTCTGCTAACCCCCAGCCTTCCCCAAGAATCAAACTTCAACCAGATCAAGCCTATTGATGTAATTACTAATTTATAGGAAACATAAAAGACAGGAACCTGTTAAACTACACTACACTAAATACAATCAGCAAACTCCACACTGGCCAGATTCTTCAACAAATACACAGGAGAGAGAGAAAAGAAGAAACCTATAGATGTAAAAGAAACTTAAGAAACATGTCAATCCACATTAACATATGAGCCTTACTTAGATTCTGATTCAAAGTTATAAAAACATTTATGGGATTTGAGACAAAAGTTGAATACTTGCTACATATTTATGATAAGAAAATCGTGTTAATTTTTAATAAAGCAATGATAGTATGATTAATAGATAGCTATTTTTATTCAGTGTCCCTGAAAAGATATAAAAGATAATGCTGAAATATATAAAAATATAAAACCACATGTACAATGCTGCTTCAAAACAATGCAATGGATATAACATGTATTATAGTCCTAAATGTTCATAGTATATTTTTTTCCTTTAAGCTGAGATTACCTATCAGATTAAGTAAATTAGTATTTGGTTTTCTTTAACTTTACCTAATATGCACTGAACTGATGAATAGGAAGTTATTATTTTAAAGAAAAAGCCTTATGTTAATAAGTACAGAAAGACATAAAATTATATTGCTAATCCTACAAACCTCCTGACATTTTATAAATACATTTTAGATAAATATAAAAGACAAATTAAATATAAAAAAATAATATTAAAAAGAATTCACCTTTACAAAAGAATTTACTGTAGCTTCCTTTAAGCACTACATCTCACTATTCCACTTTTAGGAAGAATGGACAAATAGGTACATGAGGCCACAAACTACTAGCAGGTCTTGTTGGGTCCACTTAGTGTTATTTAAAAATTCAAAAAGTTGCTGACATTTTAAAATTAGATTTCAACATAACTCTGAACTGAGTGTCCTTAATGCCTCCTGCCACCCAGGGCCTGGCTCTGTGGACAGCAGCAGCCGTCCTCAGGGTTTTCTCAACACTACGCTCAAAGGCCAGCAGCCGTTTAGCATCAGATTTCTATCTCTACTTTTCTGACACCCGGTCTGCTTTGCTCTTTACTTTGCAGCCTACCAGGTAACAACCACTAATTTTCACTCACTTTTTTTTTTTTTTAGGTGAATAAAATATGTCCACTCTGATGCTGAGAATTTTGCTAGTAATTTTTTTTCCACTTAAATTCACATAAAACTAAGGAGTTGATGAAAAGGCATTTTGAACATAAAAGTAACAAAAAACACAGAAACACCCATCCTGTGTGTTTCTTCTGTCCCTAATTAAGCCCCAAGGTAACGCTCGGTACCCTCACTCCCCAGCACTGCAGCACACACAGCCTCACCTGCATTGCTCCCAGTTCCTTTCTGCTTTTTTTTCTTGGCTAGTTGAATGGCTCTGGAATCAGTTCTTGCTGAGCCCCCACTTTCCTGAGATCAAAGAAATGTGTGTCAGTCACTTGGCCCAAACAGCAAAGGGAGGGTTAGAAAAAGAACTACTGAGATGTAGTAAGTGTGCTTCCTAAACAGAATGGAGTCCAATACTCTGAGAATCTCCAGCAAAGGCTCACTGAGAATCAAATGCTACATCCAATCATAATGATAGCTACACAAAATCAGAGTTGGAACAACATACATAATTTTATTATCCAGAGAAGCAAAGTTTATTCCTCCAAAGTCTAAAATACTAAAATATTTTATACAGAAACTGTTAAAAAAAAAAAAATGAATTACATACTTCTCTGCTGTCTGAAACAAATAACCATCCTTCTTTCAGTGATAATTCACTGCATTAATTCAGTCCAACATTTTTCAGAGCCTACCACACAATACTTGTATGGAAGACCTGGGGAAGTCCTTTCATATACCCACTGCAGAGGCCGCTCTGGCAGCAGGTACTCAACTCAAAACCTTACATACCAAAATAATAATTAGTTATTGAATTTAGTAAGATTACTGAGGGAGCCAAATAGTATTTAAATAGGACTTCAACTGTTGTAAATCTGTGAATGTTTTTTTAAGAGAAAGTTTGTACTTATCACTAGATAAAGAAAAAGAACACCCCTAAACAGCTCATGGCATACCTGTAACCCATTCACCACACACCATCTGTGCTCAGAGAATCGAGGCAGCCCGTCACTCAGCTAGCGAGAAAATGAACAAGGGTCAGGTTCATGGTCATGGTGGCTCCTCCTACCTCCACCCACAGTTAGGCCTCTGAAGATGCAGTGGCACCAGAGAACAACTGTTTCCCAAGGCACCAAGGCCCTGCACTCAGGTAGTGACTCCCCACGCCACTGCCCTTTCTGGCCCAGGCACCTGCACACCTGGCAACTGCTGCAGCCACCAAAGCAGAGGTCAGCACACGTTGCTATGCCCCCACTAGTGAGACACCAGAAGAGGCTTGACAGAGGCAGAGCTGCTCAGACTCACGACATAAAAAGCTGGCTCTATGGTATGAGTTCATCACATCCCTCAAAAGTGATCTTAATTCAAAGGATTCAACCTTTTTTTAAAAAAATGTGGTAAAAATAAAGATTTAACATTTTGAACAATACCATCATCAAATTTAACCTGTATCACAGGGAAAAAACCTATTTGATCATTCCCATCTGAGCCTGAGGGAAACGTCAGCCTCAAAGAATCTTTAAATTATTTTTAAATTAAATTATATTAAATGTATAGCTGACAGATATAATGATATTCACTGTCAAGCTTCAATACTGGAGAACTACTCATAACCCTCCAAACAAAGGTTCACAAACCACTCCCTTTTCCCTCAATTCTAGTGTTGTTTTAAATTGTTTTGAATGATTTTTAAGTTTTCATTAAAATTTGAAAGGCAGATGATGTCATGACTCCTCTTCCTCTGGTTATTAGTAAGTTTAAGGACTTGTTTTATGAAGAGCACAAAGGCAGAATATTTCAACATTATGAATACTCCCAATTTTTTCAAGAAAAGAAACATATCACACAAAAAATTCAAAAGGACCTTAGAAATCATCTAGCCAATCCCCCTCATTTTAGAAATGAGAATTTAAGGCTAAAAACTAATCAGTTCAGACTCAGGATCAGAATTCAGATTTCCAAACTTGGTAGTCCAAGGCATCATCCTTTCGCAAAGTGTAAGAAATGTCTACACATAAATAATTCATCCAGATCATCCTCAAAATTGAGTGAAGTAAGCTAGGTGGTAGTGACTGAATACAGCACATCATACCAAAGAGAAGTTGCCAGTGCCTGCACTGAGGCCTGAGTCTTTCTGAGGACTGTGCCTTTCTGGAAGGCTGGGAAACACAGGCCAAGGTACCTTTCTGTTTCGTTCTTGCTGCCTGACAGCACCAGGGCTAGGAGGCGAGTCTGGTTCCACTTTGATTGAAGTCAGCAGTTCGGGGACACTGGTGTTTCCTGGTGGGGTGCTTGGAGAGGTCAGTGTAGTGGTGTTCGCTGGTAAACTGCTGCCGGAGGTCAAAGCCTGTGGGTCCTGACTCAAGTTCTTCACAGGCAGAGCTACCAGACAGCCTAATGCTCCTGCACTTACAGTCTGCACATCATCCATATTGAAGTTGCTTTGCTGAAGAACAGTGGCTGCTGTCCCAAGAACAAGAGGACTGTCCAGGCTTGGAGGAATGTCATTGTGGGCCACCAAGACCAGTGGGTCCATGGGCCCTAAGGAACTATTATTAGGGAGGTTCCCTCTGAGAGAGGAGCTCACAGAAGTCACATCTATAGTTAGGATTCCAGAGGTCAGCGCCTCGTCCGAGGCCCCCGCTGCACCACTCCCATCAGCAGGTGCATCAGAGAAGAGCGCAGCCAGGTCAATGTTGTTGAGCTCATTTTGGCCTGGGCTGCTTAGTTCACTGCTGAGTGGAAGAGAACTCGGAGCTCCTAGCTGAGGAAAGTGATCTGAAAAGGAATGAGTGCACTAGTTACTACATGCCCTTAAAGTTTACTCCAGATGTTAAGCCACCCATTAAAGGCACCATGTACTGCCTTCCTCCTGCCCTGCTACGTGGCACATCGAAAGTGCCACAAGCTGAACGAAGGCAGCGTGATGACATCAGACATTTTACATATGTTGTCTCAAATCCTCAGACTGACAGGGATTTCTCCAGAGGAAGTGACGCAAGAGTCTAGATAACATTTTCTAAAGTCACATTGGTAATAGGACTTGAACCATGTCATTCTGGCTTTAAATCCTGTACTCCTTCTGCTATACCACAATCACTACACCTGAAAAGATTAAAACTTTCCATGGCACACCAATCTTCAAAAGTCAGATACAAGGTGAATTCTGGTGCTGAGGATATTTTTGGAATTAGCTTGTATCAGCTCATTACTCATCAAACTGTATGCCTCGCTCAACTAGCTGCCACTCCAAAACAAATTTGAGTCATCTGGGGGTGATCAGTAGTGAAAAATTTGGTCTGTAGGGCTCAGCTCTAGGGAGCTGCAGAGAACTGTGATTAGGTCCCCCAGGCACTTGGAGGTCAATTCCCTTCCCCTTCCACCATTGTATTCCCAACCTGTAATACTCCTGCCATGATCATTTTGAGGGTGCAGAGTCTGTCTGACCATCTTTGTCCCTCAACACTAGGCACAGTGCCTGACCCTAATGCAGCATTATAAATTATAGTACAAACAATTCCAGTAGATCCCTCTTCATTTTGTCTTACGTACTGGGCCAATACTATAATTATTTGTTAGCCAATTAAGTATTTTAAATGATGGGAACACCCTTGGGGGAATAATGAACATTACCATAATTTAAAAAATTTTCAATGAATATTCAAATCGGGGGTTTATGCACAAGTACACCCAATCATCCCAAATCCGAAAACAAACAAGGATTTGATGTTATTCTTTCTTAAGAAATTCCTTCCTGCAGCTTCTAGAATGTACCAAGGCCCAGCCAGAGGGAAAAGGCTCTCAGTTCCTGGATCTATTCCTTCCACCCCAACCATTAAGCTAATCCCAAACTTATATTTTCTGATTGTGGACACCACGTCAGCATGCCTATTATATTTTTCATGCAAACTTATGAAAGAATCTACTCTAGACATCCGCCACCAAAATAAATTTTAAAATAACCAAATTTGGAATATACTTTCTTTAGTTGTCATATTACTTCACAGTTTATAAATGGGAACAATATATTATTGGTTCTTCATTAATTATCTCTTAGTACCAATGAAACATTTGAAAGAAAATGGTAGTGGTTCTTTGGAGAAATTATAAAATAAAAACTGTCTCTCTCAAAACTTTCCAAAAACTCCCTTGACAATCTTGATAATTCAGCTCCCTATGAAACGATTATTAATAATCTCAATGCAAATAGATACCAATTTGTTCATAAATTTTCCACTTAGCATTTTATTAATTCCACATTACTGGAGACCTGCTATGTGTAAAAGCCAGATATTTTTTTAAAAATCACTAAATAAACTTTAATTAATAGAACACGTAGCCTAAGGTTATAATCATGACCTTGCTCCAGTCTTTCTTTGCCTATGTGACCCAGGCAAATCCTCCTTCTTTCCACCTCAGCCTTTTGTCAGTGGCAGAGTGATGAGGAACCCCCAATCTCAGGACCACTGTGAGGAGGAACTCAACAGCAAATCCTGGGGCTGCCATAGCCCTGGCAGTCAGTCCATATTATATAGGCGTTCCAAAGCATTTATTTCTCACAAGGCGAGCATTGAGCCAACACCTGGTCATCTACCTCTAACTTGTGACAGGGAATAATGACACACTATTAAGTCAATGTCACATCATAAATGCGGAGTGTGGAATAAAGGCATTACAGAAGCACTTGAGAGGTTCTCACACCCAGAGAAAAAACAGTGCCATTGCTAACTTTTGAATGAGACAGCCTAGCAAAAGGGAAGGAGCAAAGAGGCCAGGCGCATGGTATCACAGAACAACAGCTCAGAGCTGGGCAGGCAGAGACAGAGACAGGAACCTGATCCATCACTGAGGGCCTCTGAACACCAGCATGTGACTAACTTCTGTGAGCCAAGGAGACAGTCTCTAACATAAGTCCTCAAGACACCCAGTCTAGACAGGCAGCTTCTTTCAATACAAAGCTGAATAGCAATCACTGTTAGAATCAAAAGAGGGAAGAAGTGACCATACTAAACAGGATTAAAAGAAGCCAAAGGACACAAACATTCACTAACTATTCATCAAGCTCTGCTCTAGGCACTTTAACTCGGCAATTCATTCTGAGAACCACTCAAAATCTGTGTTTAAAAGATAAGGAAACCAGGGCTGGCAGACCTGTGCCCTGCCTAGGATCACACAACGGGGAAGTTGGCTGCACCCCAAGGCTGGTGCTACGAGTCACACAGGTGGCAATGAGCAGGGCCTGGTTAACAACATGCTCAGGTAACTCCATGGCTAGCCAAGATTTCACTGGCCAGGACCTGCCAGACACAGCAAACCGCTTCTCCCTATTCCCCACCTCCCCACCCCCCGCCACACATACACATGCCCCAAAGAGCAGGGTGATGTGAGCAGGGGAGGCGGCCACGTGGCACCCAGACCCCTCAACATCCTAACTGTAGGACTATGCAGGATTCTAAGTTCCATGCCACCATGTAGCCAGATAAAAAAGCCCTCGTGTGCCCAGACTCCCCCTCTGGAGAACTGTCATGGTTCCCGCTCAGCCCTCACACCCCTGCCTCAGCCACATCCTAAAACACAACTCTGTTCTTGTTTTCAAGGACTTTCCTCAGCAGCAGTATGGAGAAGAGACAGAGGGCATGCTCAGAAAGAACAGGACTTAGAAAAAGGATCCAAAGACAGAAATGATGGAGAAGCAGGCTTAGAACTTAGGACAGAGATCACAGGAAGATAGATTTTGGAGACATATGCAGGAAAAGCCAGAAACATGGAATATTGAATGCTCTTCAAGGTAAGCACTTCAGACAAGAATTAGAGAAGCAGAAGCAAGTGGCAGCAGAGTCCATGCTCCCTGGGCTGATAAGACCTCACTGCACTATAGAGTAATTTAGCCTAGGACTCGCCAACTTCTGAAAGGAGCTAAGGATGGAATGATACCTTTTTGCTTCTCTGACACAGGTCAAGCTTATACATCTTTGTAGCTCCCTAAGAGGGACATAAATCAAGCCAACCTGGGTGCCGGCTATGCTGCCTGATCACATGTGCTTTCATACTGTGCTTGGAGGTAAAGAGTCTATTACAGCTGGACACGGGGCAACGGCTTTTTGGAGCAACCACGTCCTGCAGGTGTTTCTTGGAGTGAATGTAGAGACTGCTACGAGCGGAGAACCTGGCACAGCACCCTGGAACAAAACAAATGATAAGTGATAAGTCTACAGATTATCAAGGAACCAATACTGACATTTCCTTGTCATCTATCTATATATATAAAAGTGTGAGCAGCCATTATGACCCGTCGCTATAACATGCACTGACCACCAGGGGGCAGATGCTCAATGTAAGAGTTGCCCCCTGGTGGTCAGTGTGCTCCCACAGCCAACCTCCCCCAGCGGGTCAACCTACATGGTCCCTCCCCACAAGCTAGCCCCATAGGCCCTGAGGCCGAGGGACCCCACCCATGTATGAATTTGTACACCAGGCCTAATAGTATCAAAATAATGAGACAATGCATGGTCATGTGTTAGCCACAAGGAAGGGGCATACACTGAATACCTCTAGGAGCAGCATCATAAGAAATTAAATTTGAAAGCAAACTCTATTTTAAAAAAGAGATTTGGCCGAAACCGGTTTGGCTCAGTGGATAGAGCGTCGGTCGGCTTGGGGACTGAAGGGACCCGGGTTCGATTCCGGTCAAGGTCACGTACCTTGGTTGCGGGCATATCCCCAGTAGGGGGTGTGCAAGAGGCAGCTGATCGATGACTCTCATCGTTGTTTCTAACTCTCTATCTGTCTCCCTTCCTCTCTGTATAAAATCAATAAAATATATTAAAAAAAAAAAAAGAGAGATTTGAAGTTTCACATCATTTGTATATAAGATGTGTGACCCTGAAAAAGTTAACTCTGAGCCTGTTTCTTGACCCATTATCCAGAGCTGCTGGAAAAATTAAGTGAAATTAAGTGTTAAACAACTCCTTTAATGTTCAAGTGCTTAAAAATTTATACTAATCATCTCTATCAAGCTACAACTATTAAAACCACCATAATTCTATGACATTTAAGGTTAGAAGCTACCTCAACAGATCTCCACTATTCCTATCAGTTTACCAAATTGATGCCCAGAGGGACCACGCAAATGGCCCTAAGTCAGGGACATAAGCTGAGCCTGGAACTGGCACTGCCTTGACTACTCAACTGCTTAACCAGTAGGTAAGAGCACAAACCTGCATACAGGTTAGACGGGAAACAAGACATTCAAAAACGCCCTGGTTTTCCACTGTTGGAGCTCTACACCAAGGTCTTCCCCAGCCTTAACAAAGAAAACACAAACCTGCTCACTGGATGGGTTCTTGGCAGCTTATGACCTGGCAGGGGCATGTAGACAACCAGCTGTCCTCACAGCCACCAAATTAAACAGGTAACTAACTAGAGTCACAGATCTAGTAAGTGCCCTGCAGGGACAACAGTCAAAACAGGTCTGATTTTGAAGTCTGTTCTTTCCAATACAATGCTCCCAAGACACAGCAATTAATTAAAAACCAACTAAATCTAATGCTACAACTTACACTCACCTTGCCTTAGGCAACTAAAACGTACCTTTAAACAACTAAAAATTACAGCATCCATGTGGATATGGTGCTAGTTGACAGCTCAAAGTAATGTATTAAAATCTACCTTCCACAGGGCACTCGAACGGCTTTGTGCCCAGGTGGGTGATGCTGTGGCCTTTGAGATGCTCTGCTCTCGTGAATGACTTCCCACAGCCTTCCACGGGACAGATAAACCTCCGATCGTCATCGTGTTTCCTGCCAGGACAGAAAAACATGACACGAATTACACAGCCCAGAAGCACCAGGCCTCAAAGTGATTCTTTGTTTAAAATTCTGCAAAATAAACCAAACTACAACTTTGCATTTAAAAAAAAAAAAAAAAAAAAAAACTTTTATCAGTACATTTCAGAGAACCTTAATTGTGTCTCTAACCCACATGGGCAGATTTGCAATATAGCCACTCTTTAATTAGAAATTCTACTTTACCCTAATGACCTAGCCGACCCCAGAGTCAGACACAGAAAAATCTAGAAAGAGCTGAGTCTCAATGTACTGATAAAGCTACCTACACTGTTTAGGAATCCCAATAATAAAAAGCTTCCCAATCCACAGAGGGCAACAGGAAGTGTGCATAAACTCCACTAAAAGGCGAAAGGAACTTCTCAAGCCCATGACACCTGTAGTAGCTAAACTAGGGCTGGCTACCACACGAAAGACACCTGTTACTCTTTCTGAGTAACATTTGTATATTAAACACTCAAACTCCAGCTATGTAAGCATGGACAAACCGCCCAACCTCTTGAGTCCCACTGCAAAACAGAGAGTAAGAACATTGGAATCAGAGTTCTTGGGAAGATAACATGAAATACCCAGAAGTGCTGAGCAGCACCTTCTTATAGGATAAGCCCTCCAAGGCCATCATTATCACCATGGAAAGTTTGTATTGACAGAGGAAAGCTTATTCCACACCGTAATTTTCTTAAAAATATAGAATTGTACATAACAGGTACCAATTAAATTTAAAAACAAGTACACACAGAAAAAAAAAAAAAAAACAACTTTGGGTAATCAGGATGCTCAGCAGTTTCTTTCTTAAAGCTTTCTGAATTTGCCAAATTATCTACATTGTCAAATTATCTTTACGTTTCCTTATAACTTAAAGAAATCTGAGATAGTTTGTCCATAGGCTTCTACTACTAAGAAATAATTCATTTATTTTCAAAACTTATAATTCAACCAAAATGTATAGATTACCTTTTGTGCCTCAGGAGTTTAGACATGCTGGTAAAGGTCCAGCCACAACTGTCAGAGTCACAAATAAAAGGTCTTTCACCTTAGAAAAGAAAAAGTTACAACATGTCACTATAAATGCAAGCTACCACAAAGACAGATCTTGGTTCCAAAGGACATTGCATTCCCTAGCTCATTACCTGTATGACTCCTCAGGTGAATTTTCAGGCGACAGGCTTTGTCATACTGTTTGCTGCAACCGGGAAAGGAGCAGGAAAAGAGCTCCTGTTCTCTGAAGTGGGCTCGGTTGTGGGAAAACAGAGCACTCACCGTGATGAAGGTCTTCTCACAGCCTGAACAAAGAAAACACAAACCTGCTCACTGGTGTGGCAAAAACCAGAAGACAGCTACACTAGCCACCATCCAGCACACTGCTGGCACTGAAGCAGACGAGGGAAAAAAAGATTCAGAAGCACCTCTGGAAAGTTACTACCACTGACACCTGGCTTTGTAGTAGCTAAACTAGGGCTGGCTAAGCACAAGAAAGACACCTGTTTAAAATGACTTAGAGATGAAGGATCTGATCAAGGGAAAGTCCTCCAATCACAGCCCTCCATCTGCTCCACTCTGTGGCACAGGTCTTGCATACATTTTGTGAACTCAAAGGTCAGTGCTGTCGGTGTGAAATCCAAGAAAATCCAATTAGATACTAAGGAACAAGATTCTGTCTATTAGGGTTGGGCTTGGAAGAGCCACAAACCATCATAATATCTGAGACTTTTAAGCCCTTGGGGTGATGCTGCATCCTCTACACATAAATGTCCTCCCTGATATTCTCTGCAACAGGGACCTGGCTTCTCTTTTTCCTTTTGCCCATTTCCTCAAGGCTCCCTACTTTGTCAAAGGAGGTTACTGGGTCATCTTCATTCACATGGTCTTTCCCATCACCTCCATCCTCAGCCCCCAATTAAGCCACCAGCCAATGGAGCCTGTCTGAGCAACTCCCAGACTTTCCACACAATTGTTATCCTTTGACAAAAACATCCAGTGCTTAAATAGGTGGAAAATACCAGGCTGCAAGGTGCTGATTGAGTGTCTCCATAGCAGCTCTCGGAAGAGCTTTAACATGCTACCACAGTGCCTGTAAACCACCCAGCAGGTACACACTGCACAGCACCACACAAAGTACCGGCCCAAAGAACCCTGACCCTGGCAACACTGACCTGGGAAAATGGACCTCTCTAAATGCCCTAAAACCATCCTCTTTGCCATAAATCTACTCCCCTGCCAGTCCTTTCCCTGCTTTGGGCTTTGATGAAGTCATACACTTGGTCAGATAAATCCAAGCATGCCTACACAGAACAAAACCACATCTACAAACCAGCCCTCTATTCTGTCTCTGCATCTGGAGCCCCCTTACCATCCCCACTGCCACTGCCTCTGCCTAGATCAGCCCTAAGGAAACTCAATCTGGAACATTTCTTGGGACTTCACTGATCCCTCTCCTGCTTCTACCCATCTCAAACATTGACACCACACAGATCATCTAGCTCAGTGTTTCCCAAAGTGTGGTGCGCGTACCCCTAGGGGTACCGGAAGAGTTTGGTGAGGGTACGCACTGCACCGTGCTTAGCTGCGCCTAATTCTACGTTCTCATGAGTACGAGGGGTACTCAGCGTTACGAAAATTATAGAAGGGGTACACATATGTCAAAAGTTTGGGAAACACTGATCTAGCTCAAAACTTCAGAAAGACCTCAGGCCCTACAACAGGCTAGATCCCTGATTTTCCTAGTATTATACTCAGAATCATGCTCTCTGTGCAGTCTTTACGCCACGGTCCGATTCCCAGAGTGTATGACAGAAAAGGGTTTCCATTCAGTGGCCTGAAGCTGTGTCCTCCACGAAGAGAACCACATGAAACAACCTACAGCACATGGGAACTCTGGAACATGTTGGCATTTTGCATTTCACTCTTTCAAGCTCTCTATACTTGACTATATTTTATATTTTATACCAGGGGAGCATCAAATGTATATAGCATGTCAACACACACGTGGGACTCCCGCTAGGTGCGTGCTTGCCTTTTTGTTTTAATAAGTTGGTGGTGGAAGGACCTTCACCATCTGCTTGGCCCTCCCACACCCTCCCCACAGCCCACAAGCCCTGCCTGGGCTCTGCAGACCCTCTGCTCCCCTCCTCCCCCCCAACCCCCTCTGCAAAGGCCTCTTACCAGATTCCCCAGCCAACTCCTAGCCAGGAAGGAGCCTTCTCCTCCCTGGGGCGCGCTCGCTTTCTCTCTCTCTCTCTCTCTCTCTCTCTCTCTCTCTCTCTCTCTCTCTCTCTCAGCACCTACACCAGCCTACCGGGGAAAGAATGCATGGTATGGAAGCCTTATCTCCCCACCGCTGCAGGCCATGGCAGTGGACAAAGAACCATCCCTGGATTTCTTTCCCCCATTGCTGGGCCTCAGTCACTTCATCGGCCACAAGAGGACAATTTTGAGAACTTGACAAACTGTGGAGTCCAAAGAATAAGTATAAAAGGCACAGACTGTGGGCGCCTCACCATCTTAAGGCCTTCCATCTGGACGCCCCACCAGTATCAGAGGAGTGAATGTTTCCCAAGGAAATGGAGGAAAACAAAGGCCTGTCTCATAACAAAACTCTGGAAAGATGCGTTCTTTCTCTCACTAACCAGAAGCAACCTTCAGGGGGATCTGCTGCCACCGCCACGGGGAAGGGCAACCGTGATTATTTGGTCGCAATCCCCAGGGTTCAGGTGCCCTGGGAAGAACTAGGAACACACACACCCAACACAGGAGCGCTTCCGTCCCCGCCCCTCGTACCTGGCCCACCGAGTGTAAACCCTGCCCAGCCCGGCCCCGCCACCGCACCCACTCCGAGCCACTGGATGATGTGGCCCTGGGGGGGCCCCGGGCACCCTCAAACCCCCCCGCAGCCGCCCGCAGGCCCTGCGTTACCGGGAAAGTCACACTTGTAGGGCCGCTCGGGCTCGAAGTGGCTGCGCTGGTGCGAGCTGAGCTTGGCCTGCGTGGGGAAGCGCTCGGCGCACACCTCGCACTTGAACAGGCTCTCCTGCTCGTGCCCCTTCATGTGCGCCTTGAGGTTGTACACGGTGGTGAACTTCTTGCCGCAGCCGCCCACCGGGCAGCCGAAGGGCCGCAGCTTGTCGTGCGACTGCAGGTGCCGCTTGAGCTTGTAGGAGGTGGTGAAGGCCCAGCCGCAGCCGTCCAGCGGGCACTTGAAGGGCCGGCGGCCCTGGCTGCCGCCGTGCGTCAGCAGGTGCACCTTCAGCTGGTGCTTCTTGGCGAAGGCGAGCGAGCACTGCGGCTCGGGGCAGCGGTAGCCCAGCGCGCCCGGCCCCGGGGCCCCGCGGCGGCCCTCGGCCGGGCTCGCGGCCTCCTCCCGCGGCTGCGAGGGCGGCGGGCCCGGGGCCGGCGGAACCCCCCGGGGCGGCGGCGGCGGCGGCGGCGGCGGGCCGGGGGGCGGCGGCGACTGCGAGGCCAGCGTGAGGACGCCGCGGTCCAGGCGCACCATCAAGTCCTGGCCGCCGACGGCCACGGTGTCCCCGGGGGCCGCGCCGGGGCCGGGGGCGGCGCCGCGGGAGCCCTGCAGGGGCCGGCCCGCAGGACCCGCGTCGGCGCCGGGCTCAGCCTCCCGCCGCCCGGAGGCCTCGGTCGCGGCGCCGCGCGGCACCTCCAGAAGCACCACGAAAGAGCCGTCGTCGTCGTCGTCGTCGTCGTCGTCCTCGAGGGGCGGCGGGCTCGGCCCGGGACCCGCCGCTGCCGCCGCCCCGGCCTCCCCTCGCCGCGGCGCCGACCCGCCATCTTCGGAGCCCCGCAGCAGCAGCAGGCGGCGGCGCGCGGGGCCCGGGCCGGGGGGCGAGCCTGGGCCTCGGCGGAGTCGGCCGGGGCCGCCGCCATGTTGGGCCCCGCGCAGGGTCGGGGCGGCGAGCAGCGCCGGGAGATCCATCTCGGACCCTGCAGGGGCGTCGCAGCCGCCGCCGCTCGGAGGAAGCGCGGTCCGCCCCGCCCAGGCGTGCGCGACGCCGTGCGGCTGCTGCTTCGGGGAGTCCGCGGCGCCAAAGTCCGGCGCGGAGCAGCCTGAGCGCGCGTGCGCGTGCGCGTGAGCCGCGGGGCGGGGCGTGCCGGCCGCGGGCGCGTGACGTCAGGGATACCCCCTGCGCGGCCCCCCGGGGAGCTGGGCTGGTCCTCCGCCTCCCAGCTGTGGTTTGAGTGCTTGCAGGGGAACCAGGCTAGCCTGACTCGGAGCAATAATCCCTTTTCGTCTGGGGAACCCTATAAAGGGAAAGGCTAATACGCAAATTGACTAAGCGGTGGAACTACCTGTGGCTATGATGCGCACTGACCACCAGGGGGCAGGCGCTCAATGCAGGAGCTGCCCCCTAGTGGTCAGTGCGCCATTCAGCCAGAAGCCCTGAAGCAGACTCAGGGCTGGCAAGCGCAGGGGCATGGCAGGATGTCTGACTGCTGGCTTAGGCCCGCTCCCTGGAAGAAAGAACAGGCCTAAACCTCAGTCAGACATCCCCCAAGGGCTCCCGGACTGCGAGAGGGCTCAGGCCAGACTGAAGGAACTCCCACCCCTGAGTGCACGATTTTCATGCACTGGGCCTCTAGTGGGTTAATAATTGGGGAGGGATCAAGCCGGACACCCAGGTGTGCCCTCACCGGGAATTGAACCGTGACCTCCTGGTTCATGGGTCCATGCCCAGCCCACTTGGCCACACTGGCCCGGCTCACCCCCTTTTTGTCTCATTGATTAAGCTGTGACATCTCATCTTCCTTGCTCTGGAACTAGGATTTACACAATCAGCTTCCCTGGTTCTGAGGCCTTCAGACTCAGACTGAATTACTTCAATGGCTTTCCTGGGTTTCCAACTTCCAGATGGGACTACCATGTTATATTTATAATTGAGCTCTATCTATAAATATCTATATAATTATATATGTATAGATAGATATATCCCCTATTGGCTCTGTTTCTCTGGAGAAACCAATACAAACTTAGATTCAAGTCCCAACAGAAATCATGCAGGTGACACATATGTGTAAGAAATCAGCTGCTATGTCCAAGAACAGACAAGCACACTTGGCCTTGCTATTGGAGTACAGTAGGAAATAGTAGGGACTGTAGCAAATTGGAGAAAAACAGGCCCAGGCCCAAGGGGCCTCCAGCTGATCGCTGTCACTGTGGCAGTGAGGGTACAGTGTCGCCTGATCTATTAATTTGTTCAAGTAAATGCAAAGTCTGAAGTTTTAAGTGAAATCTCCCAATTTGTAACAATTGGCCTGCCCTTAAAATATATATATATATATGGGCAGGCCAAACAAAATGCAACTGCAAGTCAAGTTTAGTCCCCAGCCCCCAGCCCCCAGCATAGGAATCTATTCTGGAAGGCTAAGGGCAAGAGAGCATACCTCTCAGCCAAGACCCCCTCAACTGGCCTGGGCTGACCAGCAAGTAAAGGACCTGCTTCCCAGGGAGCTCCAGGTTCACAGGAAGCAGAGATTTCCCAGGGAGAGAATTTCCAAGGCAACTAAAGCCTACACCCATTATAGCCAATTTGTTTCTATTTTAATTGTTTTGTTGTTTTTTGTTAATCCACACCTGAGGATGTTTTTGTTGTTGATAAAATGGAGTCCTTTAGAGAGAGTGGAAGGCAGGGAGGGAGGGAGGGGGAAAGAGAGAAACATCCATGTGAGAGAGACACATCAGTTGGTTGCCCAGGGCACACACCTGGATCAAACCTGCAACCCGGGTTCCTACCCTTGACTAGGAATCAAACCTGCAACCCTTTGGTTTCTGGGCCAACGCTCCAACCACTGAGCAACCTGCCAAGGCATGATAAAACATTTCTAAGTGGACTACACATTTCTGCTATTTAAAAAAAAAAAAAAAAAAAAAAAAAAGTTCACTGCTGAAAGCTTTTGGAAAGGAAGGGTTTATTGAGCCATATGTTAGCCAGAAAAGGGGCTACCACGTCCTGGGTATGCAATTTAAACCACCAGTAGCAGGGCATAATGAGGAAGACAAACATAGCTACTCTCCTGTAGCTGACCGGGCTCTTTTACAGAAGTAAGTTGCTTTGAAAGGATTTACATTGGCTATAGACAAGGGTTGAGGGGACAGGAAAGGGTGAAGCAGGGACAGTTCTAGGAGAGGTGCACAGTTCATAAAGGAAAAAGATTTACTACTTTTGATTGATTGTGGGCAACAGTCCAGAAAGTTCCTGCATAAGCAGAATGCAGCAGTATCTGATGGTCAGCTGTTTCTTTTTAGACAGCCACCTGGAAGTTGATTCAAAGCTCCAGCAACATTCAGCGATACAAGCAGGCTTTTGTTAGTTGGCCCACAGCTATTAACTGGCTAATTACCCTTGCCTCTGTACCAACTATAATTTAATTTAGTACTCAGAATATTTTTTTCTTGTCACTACTTTCTTAAAAATAAGGCAGAACTGGACACGTTGGGTATCCGTGCTGTTCCATCCACTCCATGGTTACTGAGGCCGTGGTCAGTTGCCCTAAACCCCCACTGAGCCCCATGGTGGCCGAATTCTGGATGTCAGTAGTCCCTTCTCCCTGCTGGCAGCGGGGCAGCAGGTTGATGTGCTTGTGCCCAGCAAAGTAGCCTGCTCCCTGGCATGGCTTGATATGGGACCAAGAAGGGTTCCTGAGGCCTTTGCATGTGGGTAGAAGCCATCTTTGAACTTGGCCCAAAGCTGGCCCTCAAGCTCTACCTGTCCTTAATAAGAGAAGGTGCTGGGAGGGGAAGAAAGGACCTGGTCTTAAAATCGAACATATCTTCTCCGTGTTTCCCTAGGGACAGGGAATGCTCGGGCAGCTATATGAGCCAGGGTGCTTTCCAAGGAGACTTGTTGACAGACACTGTGCTGGTTTAGATGCTGTGCTTGCTGTGTGGAACCAAAGCCCTGCTGGGAGGGGCAGGCCCGTGCTGGAGTGGCAGCTCCATGTGCTGCCAAGAGCACAGGTAGGTCCCTGGGTCTTCCCACATGCACCTTATCTATGCCTCTGTGGACCTCATGGTCACAGAAGGGTTGCTGCCCGTCAGCATCACACCTGAGGTTCTAGCAGGAAGAAGGGGCAAAGGCAAAAAGCAATCCAGCCTTATCGCTACATTTTTATTGGAAAAACAACAGCTTTCCCATAAGTCCTACCTGCCATAATTCTACCCTATTTCATAGTCCAGAACTAGGCCAGAGGTCACTCACTCCCAGTTGCAAGAAAGACTGGAAAATCAACTATTTTCAGTGGGTCTGTTGCTGCCCAGACAAAACTGGGGTTCTGTAAGACTGAAAACTCAGAATCCAGCCAGGCTGGCTCCCTCTCTGCAGACGTGGAAGGGGAGGGGTGAAAAGTTTTCTGTGGCTTTTTGGAAAGCCCCGCCCCCCAATCTCTTTCTTAATTCTTTGTTTAGGACGAGCCATTTTTAAGTCTGTAATGGGCCCAACAGGGGGCTAAGCTAAGGCCAGAAACTAATGAGAATAAGGTACGTGGTCAAAGCTACTCTGCTTAGCATGGCAAGGTCACAGGGGTCTCCTGGTGTAGAGAGCCAGCAAGCCCGGTGATGCCAAGGGGGCCTGCCTGACGCCCTGCATGGCCCTGGGTGTTTACAGGAAAGGGAGCAGGTTCTGATTACCAGTCTGCGGGGCAGGAAGGATGAAAGAAGAGGAGCAGGGAACTCCTCTCTCCACTTTGCTTCTTTTTGTAATTGGGGGAAGAATAAAGCAGAACCACCACCCCTTTAAAGGAAAAAAAAAAAAAAAAAAAAAAAAAAAGCACCTGCTCCAAAATGAAGGCCTGAAGAAGCATGGTCACATGATCCCCTCTGCCTGGGTCATCTTCATTGAGGCTGGGCTCTGGGGTCTGGCAGGGGCGGGTGAAGCCAGCCTCAGGTCCCACACTGCTCCTACAGGACATCTGATCCCAAACGGGCCTCCTGAGCAGACTTCTGTCATAATGGATCAACCATGGGTAATACCCCTGCTCTCTCCTTTTTCCCCCCAACGAAGTATCACTAACCTTTAGGAAAGAGCTCTGCCAGCCCTCATCCCGCCACCCTGCATCCACCCGCCCACACCACGGTCCATAGCTCTCTAGACAATCCTTTATTATCCTACCTTCCTCCCTGGACACCTCCAAGCCCAGGGCCTGGTGAATGTTCCTTTGTGCCCAAAGCTGGGGCAAGGGGGTACAGAAAGTACCTGGCTAGACAAATGAACAGGCTAGCCGATGGAAAGAGAACTGCGTGGATGGCTGGAAGGTGGGCAAGAGACGGTGGTTGATTAAAAACCTGCCCATAGGAAAGCCTGCCCCTGGTAGGAAAAGAAATGACAAGAGGCTGAGAAGGGACTTAGTGGATGCCCTGATCAGCAGTATTCACGACACGCCTACCTCCAGAGTTGCTGGAGTCTACTCCTCGGAGAGCTTCAGGATGTAGTCCCTAACAAGACTTTCACTGCCCTCCCTGGTTCTTTGGGAGCGACATGGTCATGGAGAAATGGCTCCACCTCTGTGGGCCTCAGCTGGCTCATCTGTGGAATGGGGACAGCAATAGCCCACCCTCTAGGATCCTGTGAGGCCAAATGAGGGTGTGGGTGTGGACCTGCTGACTCAGGAGGGGGAGGTGTGCAGCGAAAGACGTGGTGTGGCTGTGGGGATGAGGACGGGGACCAAGGGGGACAGGGGGCCGTGGCAGGCTCTCGGTGCTCATTTCCGCAGGGCCTGCTGGAGCATGTGCTCGTCTGCCACCCGGTGTGGCAGAGTCACCACCAAGCCCTTGTTCTCCCGCATCGTCTCGCAGATGATCTCATAGGCCTTCTGGTTCCCGGACCAACAGCGGCGGGCCACCTGTCAAGGGGCGCGGAGGGCAGTGCTATAGCTGGTGCCAGCGTCATCGGGTTCTCAGCAAGGCATTCTGGATACACTGGG